CCACTCTCGCGCGCGCGGGGGGGTGTCCCACAGCAAGACCTGGGGCTCGAGACAGACAGACCGGGAGGGACGGAGGGAAGGAAGGAGGCGGGCTCTAATTCCCGTCTAACTCCTGGGGCAGAGCGCAGCACGTGGGGAGCGGGAGGGAGGGCCGAGCTGCGCCAGACGGAGAGAACGCCGGACGTGGTTGGAGGAGGAGAGTTGAGGGCGCGGGCCCCGCCCCCCAAGAAGGCGGGGTTAGAACCCATGGGGCCAAGAAGAACCGCGCGCGCCGCGCTTTGGGCAAAAGCCGCGACGGAGGCGACGCTAGAACGCTCGGTCTCCTAAAAAGAGGGGCGGGGTTTAGAACACTCTGGCTCACAGCGGAGTGGAGACCGCTTCCCGGCAAGGGTTGCCATTGGGAGGCCGAAGCCCTTGGGCGGGAGGTGATTGGCGTAGGCTAGATCAGAGGGTGGGCTCAAAGGGAGAGCCGCGGTGGAAGCAGTTCCTCCCTTCCCCCCTCCCTTCCCCATGTCAACAAGCGGGGCGCCTGCGCCGGCGGTTTGCGCGTCTTTTCCTCTCATGCGCGGTATTTGCTTCCCGAGCAGGGCCCGGGGTTTGGCCTAGAGCCGTTGGGGGCGCAGCGGCGGCGGCGGCGGCTCAGCGAGCGGGACGGACGGACGGAGCCTTCCGGCTCTCCGGCCGCCGGACTGGCGCCCCGTTGGGCGTTCAGGATGGCGGAAGATTCGCCCAAGCGGCGCAAGGCCAATTTTAACGAGGCGGAGACGGAGGTGCTGATCGAGCAGGTGCTGAAGCACGAGCAGGTGCTCTTCGCGGCCGGGCCGGGCCGAGCCTCCCCGGGCCAGAAGCGCAAAGTCTGGGAGCTGATCCGGCACAAGGTGAACCCGGTGGCCGCCTGCCCCCGCGAGGTGGAAGACCTCAAGAAGCGCTGGCGGGACCTGAAGCGCCGCGACCGGAGCAAGCTCTGCCGCCTCACCCAAGGCCCCGGCGGGCCCTTCCCTCACCCGGCGACGCTCGCCCTCCTGATGGCCAACGGAGAGGAGATCTCGCCGCCCCCGCCGCCGTCGCTGCCGCCGCTGGACCACCTCCGACCTTACCCCTCGGGGCTGCCGGCGGCCAGCGAGGCTTTGCCCATCGTCGGAGGAATAGACACGCTGGATTTGCCCGGAGCCTCCTCTGTGCCAGAGATCGGTGAGTTCGCGAAAACAGGCAGAGCCAAAGCCACTCGCCCACCCCGACCCCCAACTCCTCTCCTGCCCCTTTCCTCTCGCAGGAGGACGACGGATCTTCCCCCCCCCCCTTGCCTTTGTGGGGCTTCTTTCAGCCCCGAGACGCTCGGCGCCCTTCGCCCTCTCCAGGATCGTGGCCAGACCAGGCGAGAGAAACCGCTCGTTTCCTTCTCCGGGGAGATCACTCAGCGGTTTGACGCCAGACTAGGGGAGAGAAACCGCGCGTTTCCTTCTCCGGGGAGATCACTCTGTGGTTTGTCCTCCCTCCTCTTTAGAGAACTGGGGTTTTTTCCGTGTACTTCCTTTCCCACGGTTCTTTTACACGGGTATTCTCCTGGTCCAGGTTCTGACTAGGTCAGTGACAGATTCCCCCAGAGATTGGGCTCAGGCTGCGAGGCGCGTCATAGGCTTTGGAGTTTTGAAGCGGAGCCCTCCTATGGATGGAGCGATTTCACAAGTAGCGGCAAAAAGGTCCCCATCTCCTGAAACGGGTTCCTTAAGGTAAAGCAAGCCAGGCCATCGGTCCGTCCAGTTGGGATCCGAGTGACCGGCAGCACCTCTCCTCAATGTTGAAGATAGACTTTCGCACACGGACCTCCGAGATGCTTAGGACTGAACCTGTGGTCTTAGTGTGCAAAGCATGTGCTCCAGCGCTCAGTGACTTTTTCCACATTTTACCGGGAAGGTGGGAGGATAAATGTGGGAAATAAGATAGTGGCAATTCAGCCCACCACAGCAGAAGTATCCAGTTTACCTCAAAAGGTCTTGGAAACTGAAAAAGCTGTGTATATGAAACATCAAGATGTCAGGAATAAGTAGTGTTTTATTGTGGGACCATTGGAAAAAGTACTAGCATGCTTACTAGTTGCTTCTCATTTGGATAGCTGTTTGCCCTGTACTGTACAAACTGTAGGGTCCTTTCTATACCATATAGGCAAGATTTATTCTGTAAAAGGAAACAAAAAACCTTTTCACACCTTTAATGTTGCCTCATCCCTCAACCTATTGTCCTACTGTTATCATATGTCATCTAAGTATTTTTTAACTAAAAGCTGTTCAGTTTTTTATAGTAGGTAGAAAATTGACATTCATTATTACAAAGCCAAACCATGATGCAAACTATTTATTTCATAAAGTTTTGGATCATCAAGACATGACCTCATAAACAGTTTGCAACACCATAATTACCACCATTATTATTAGTTTCTGCCCTATCTTTCCACTAAAGAATAGTGCAACCACAAAATCAACTTAGTCTAAAAGAGTTAAACCCATCAAAAATACTGAACCATTTTGTAAGGCAATTCTAAAAGTCTTCACACACTTTCTAATTGTAGCAAGAGTAGGAATTGCATCTCCTAAAAGAGATCAGAACTGTAGAGGCACAGAAACATAGATTTCAGAATCCCCTCAACCTGACTCAGCATATACAAACAATGTAAACTTCAAGATAAAAATGTTAGTGTAAAATATGCTTGTTTCTGATCTTTTGCTGTGTACATACTCTTTCTCCTGCATAGAGGTAGAGAGAAGGACATTTGAAACTGCCTTCTCTTTATTTGGTGATAATTTTTCATGTTTTTGCTGTCCTTTTATGTATGGGTTTTGTTTACGATGAATTTTTTCAGGTTCATTCTGTTGCTTTAAAACAATTTGAAGGATTCTCCTTCACACAACCTTTCAACTTCATATTTTGTTCTCATTACATATAGAAACGATGAAAACTCAGTGAAACTTTTTTGAGACTGATGAGAAATTTAGGCAGCATCTTACATGCCTCTGATACCAGCCTAGTAGACAGCAGTTGAATTCAAGTTGTGAAAATTTATGTCTTCTTTTCCCTTCATTAGGTTTTACAGATGACCCTGGCCCATCCCACCAACCGTGTGCGGAGAAGATCAGTCTAAAGGAAGAAATAGTGGTGAAGGTAGTGGAGCCAGAGGAGAGCTCAGAGGACATGGCTGTCGTTCCTCCTAGCCAAGAACAGCTACCCTTTTCGGCGTTACAGAATGGAGGTCCTTGTGGAAAAGTAAAAGCCAAAACAAAAACTCAGCCCCAAACAGACCCTAGTGAAATTACAGAAGAAGATCTATTGCAGATCCAGCAAAACCAGCTGCACGCTATCCAGGCTGGCTTTGATAGTATCAACCATAATCTTCGGTTGCTGCAGCAAGGAATGCAAGATCTCAACAATAGCCTCAGTGTCATGGCGCATACATTAGTGACAATCAAAAATGTCTATGTGAAGAACAATGCTGGCCCTACCACTTTTGCTAATGTCACTACTCAGACCACATCAGGATACCTCAGCCCTGGCTCCCCGCTGGTTGAGGACAGGGTTAGAGTACCAGTGGCTGGAAGTAGTAGTAGAAGCAGCAGCTGCAGCTCCAGCTCTCTATCACAAGAGCCAGGTCCTTCAGAATTTCCAAGGCCACCCCACAGACCTATTAAGAAGGAACATCCAAATGGGTGCTATTACTTTTGTTTCGCAGACGTATAAGACTACTGTAGCTTTTGAGATGGGGCTGGTTTGTACCCTGCTCTGGTAACATATCATGACAGAACATATATATCTGGCTGCCCTCCTATAATGCTAAATTTATAAAATCTCCCCTCCCCTCACACACAGGCAAGACTGCAGAAGCCTTGCATTGTGGGAGGTGAAACACAACAAAACACTGAAACAAATGTTGAAGTACAGGATAAACACAAATAAATGCAACTTTTAGAAACCAGTCTTATTTATGTTTGTATGGAAGGAAATCCCACTGCCATCCAGATGGGGTTCACCCAAAAGCAATAGTGCACTGGGTTGTTCTGGTAGTAATCCAACAGCTTCTCGAATTGGGAATTGCCTCTTACATAGTGCCTCCCCTGCTGTCTCTCTTGTTGGAAAGACAAAAGAGATTTGATCCATCTTTATATGCCTGGTATTGATTTGATCTTTTAAAACAAAGCAGTATGAAAAGGTAGCAGAAACCTTATTGTGTCTAGTGCAGGATCTGTTATTCAGGCTGTTTTATTTTTGTAGCAATCCAAACTGAAGATTTGGAAGAAATTGAGTACTTGATTGTGCATTGTTTTTTTTAAAAGGAAAAAAAGTTGCCTATTGCTAATTCTGTTACAGAGCATGTGAAGTTTATCTGCTGTATTGCTGGGAGTGAACCAGGGTACTGAGGTGCAAGCCAAGAGCTTGTATGTTTTCCTAGATAGCTCTTTGTTGTTGCTCATACCCAGGTCCTCTGTCTTCCCTGGAGGGGAAAAACTGCTCAGAGTATCTAGTAGTTGGGAGGCTGCGTTTTACTGCATAATTAAAAAATATTTGCCCTCTGAAAATGTGATGATTACTCCTGTGTTCTTGCGAAAGACATCTGTACAACTCATCTCACTGCAAGTGACACATCCTGGAGAAACAGTTTTGTTCCATAATTTGGATGTAATGCTAAACAGCCTCCAGATCTTGTTGGACTGCAGCTCCCTTTTGTAGTCAGCATAGCCAATAGTGAGGGGTTATGGTAGTTATAGTTCAACAACATATGCAGGCCACAATGCTGTGGAAACTAATTTCTTTCAGTCTTCCCCCACCTTCTGTCATTCCTAGCCAATGCCTGTGCTGGCTGGGAGTTGATTAAAACATGGATGGTTCTGTATTAGGGAAGGCTATTCCAGTGGGAATAAGCAAGATACACTGTCATTAGGAGGCATTATGGTGTAAGATGGTTCTGTATTAGGGAAGGCTATTCCAATGGGAATAAGCAACAGATACACTGTCATTAGGAGGTATTATGGTGTAATAGATGAAATGATGGACTAGGGCTTTGGAGACCTGAGTTCAAACCCTGATTTGACTATAGAAACTCACTGGGGAGATTGTAGTGGTAAAGCAATTCTTAAGTATCCCGCATGTCTTGAAAGTCCTGTTAGGGTTTCCATAAGTTAGATGCAACTTATGAACACATGACACCACTGTCCTCACCTCTTTTGGTGCAGCTGCAAGTTGTAAAACATCAATTGGCTTCTTTCAATAAACTTCACTTTGCACAGAAAGAACTATTGCTAGTTTAAAATTAGGAAGTGGCTGTTTCATTCATGGGTGCGTGAGAGAAGGAAAAATGGATTAGAAGTGTGTGAACCTAAAAGTTACAACTTATGAACACATGACACCACTGTCCTCACCTCTTTTGGTGCAGCTGCAAGTTGTAAAACATCAATTGGCTTCTTTCAATAAACTTCACTTTGCACAGAAAGAACTATTGCTAGTTTAAAATTAGGAAGTGGCTGTTTCATTCATGGGTGCGTGAGAGAAGGAAAAATGGATTAGAAGTGTGTGAACCTAAAAGTTACATAGAAAGTACAGTGGACCCTTGACTTACAGACGACTTGACTTACAGACTTTTTGAGTTACAGACTTCTCTGGCCGCAAAATTTAGGTTTGAAATGGATTAGAAGTGTGTGAACCTAAAAGTCACATAGAAAGTAATAGAGAAGTGCTTAGCATTGAGAGTGATATAGACCACCATTTACTACATTTGTTCTGGAAACAGTGGAAAGGGACATGGCATAGCAATTGTTTTTCATATCAAAATAAAAACCTTTACTAGACAAGTCATTTGTGTGCAATCTGACATACGTGTGACTAGGAAAGTGTCACTTATTAAAAAAATTATTAATGACATACACAGGTCATTGAAAGTACAAGATTATTTTTACTGCCATTGTGGATACATTGACAACCCAGCTTAGGCATAAACAGCATGTGGCTTTCTAAATGTTATTGAACTGGAACTCTCATCAGCCCTAGCCATTAGTGATCAATGATATGAGGTTCAGTCCCACCAGTGATGTGCCTCAAGTTGCTCAGCCATGGTGGAGAACTATTAATGAATCTCTGAAAATACATGCCCAGTTTGAATTAGGAGCTGCCTCCCTGCTAGCAGATGATAGAGGCTTTCTGCGAGAAAGTGTTTCCAGCTTAGTGGCAGAATGCCTCAGAAGTATTTCAAATGCAGGTAAAAGACTCATTGCCCTCTTACTCTTTTTATTCTCAGAAGTCCATTTAGCATTTTGTCTCAGTGTCAATATTAAATGTCACTGATGATGTCAGACTTCTAATGGCATATACAAATACTTTATATTAGGGATACGGGAAATTAACCTCATTTCAAGTTGTAGTTTGAATTGTTTAGTGGTGGTGTTGAATGCTTTATACAAAACAACAGAAAACAGATTTATAAAACTACAATGCAGTGTGAACCAGAATTAACCTTTTACCAGGTTCCATATCTGAGAATAGTGATGAACTAGAAAGTCATTGGATTGCTTTCAGATCTGTCCGTCTTTCTTCGTGGTATGCAGCACAGCTCACAATGTTGACCAACACACCCTGTTGATTTGGAGCAACTGATCATAATATATTTTTCTGCTTTTAGTCACTAGTTCAATTGTACACATCACTCTGCTTTATAAAGTGCAGTTTTATTTTGCACTATCATAAACATTCTGTGGTGTACAAAGGCAAATGAAAGTTACTGAATAATAACCACAAAACTACCACCACATTAATCTGTTAAGACATTGGGCTGAGTTGTTGCGTGAAGCTCTCAATGGACAGGATACGCATGTATGAAATTGCACATTTAAGGTAATAACCCCAGAAGTTATTGGTTAGATCCCCAACCAATGAAATTAATGTTCAAAACCTATCTGTATAGATAGGGAAGTTTCCCTTAATGTGCAAAGTGGTAAGTCACAATGCATACATTTCCCATAGCCCCAAGTTCTTATCCTCCAAATTGCTTTTTCAGTGCTGTTTTAGATATAATGGAGTCCCTTACTTGCTAATTTTCCCCACCACTTGCTTGCCACTTCAATTAATAGGTAGTCCCAAATATTTAACAAAGGCAAATGTTATAAATTCTCTTCAATGAGGCTTCACTGTTCTAAATGTAATCTTAAAAAAAACTTTGCCAGTGCACTTAGTATGATGGAAAGAGAAAGCCAAGAACACCATCAAACACCGTAAAACACATATTCAGCCAGTATTTCGCCCAATTTTTTTGCAAATAAAGGACCCAAATCTGCACTCCCTCCTACTTCTCCTCATGCCATGGGATGAAGTGAAATGAGCCAGGGAAGTCTACTTTTACCTTTAATGTGAGATTTTTCTAACACAAGAGTTTATGTGTCAGCATGTGAAACAGTACTGGTTCATTATCAATAGCTGGCTTAAATATAACACATTTAGCATTTTAAATGCAGCCAACTAAAAAGGAAGCTAGAGATGGTAGCTGGCAATAATAACCTATTGTTTAAAAAATCTGCTGCTCCCAATAAGCCAAAGTGTCTTTGTGGCCAACAGATGCTTTTGATTGATTCATATCTGAACATAGATTTGTAATCCACTTACAATCTCCACTGCTTGGAATTTAGTGGATGTTTTCTGAATACAATCTAGACATAGTAGTAATTACTTTAATACAATAGCGGGAAATAAAGCAAGCAGAAAATGTACATCTTCATTTCACCACTGTAGAAAAGTTTATTAAAATGCTGTTTTATTAGTCATCAACATTTCAAAACTGATCATTGACTGATCAGCACTGCAGTTTTTCAGCATCCATTTTCTAGGAACCAGATTTTGTTACTTTTCATCGTTTAAAATGAATTACAGTATTTCCAGAACTATTTTTGGTAGAATTCAAATACAGAATAAACTGACAAATCTAGCCAAAATAATTGTTTGCATGCTGAATGATTTTTATTTAGAACCAGTTTATAAAAATAAAATACAAAATAATTTGGAAAACAGAACTTAAAACATTTACAAAGCCTTGATATGATACAAATGGGGTAAAATAAATAACTACACCTTTATGTACAAATTACCATTACAAATACACTGCCAAAACCTTCTGTTCTTGAATGACTTAGCAAAAATTATAAATACACATCTAATTGGATTTTGGGAAACAAGAAGAGGAAAAGAAAAGGACTGGAATACTTGACAATGCTAAGTAACCTCTCCAGAATAACTTCTTGCCTAAATTCATCCCTGTAACATTTTCCTTGAGATCCTGGCCAGGATTTAATTTGTGGATTTATATTGACATAAGTGTAACTGGGTAAATTATAACAGCAAATTGTCACTAATTAACAAATTGTCATTTACATTCCTTTCCATGTGCCAATTCACATGACTGGCACATCATGAGGCATGTGTCAACTTGTTAATTAGCAGCAATTCACATAAATGGGTTACATTTAAACCAGCATAAATCACTAGTAGGATTCTTGTCACTAAACATTTTCTGAATAAATAATACATCTAGTTTTCTCCTAACTGTCAACTACAGTATTTCACTTTTATTAAGAGATTTCAAATAAGTAACAGCCTGCTGCTTCAATGTTCAATCTTGGTTTCGAAGACTTTATTTCTTTCCTTTTTTTAGGTTCTAGTTGTAATGAGAGAGAAAGAGAAAAGCAAATACGAAACAAGTTCAGGCACTAATACTTCATCAAGAAAGCAGATGGAAGATAACCTTTAGAAACTCACACTATGATCATTGAGGAACAGCATGCAACTGAGCCTGAAAGCCTACCCAGACACACACTACTGCTCTTCTAGAGCAAAGGGTAAAGAATGTCTGGTTCTCCTGATGTTGTCATCATCCCTCAATATTACTTGGCTAAGTATTAGCCAAGACAGCCAAAACATTTCTTGATCCACAGATTTAAGAAGATTTGACTGTTATTTCGCATCCTAAAGAGAAATGGAAACTGCTTTATGGCCTTCTAGCATACAAACTTGTTAACAGAGTGAGATGAAATACACTCATCCTCAAGAAGTTCAACATGGATCAGTTCCTGCTGGAGTTTGTGCTGCCACCTGCAGTCTTGTTTTTGGATGAACAAAGATAATCTACATTCTTCGGCACAAAAACTACTTCCTCAGAGTAACAGTGTTTATAATAAGCAGAAGAAAGTCACCTTACACTGCCACCACAAAACGCATGTTTTCATATTTTGAGAGAGAAATATTTGCAAATACACACCTATTTTCTTGTTAGGCCCATTGTTTTAGTCCATTTGCAAGTAATAATTTGTAGTGCTGGAAGACCCTATGGAATTAGCAAAGTAAGGGGAACTGAGTCCTGAAGGACAGAAAAATAACAAAGGATTTCAAGCCAATTTTTTCACCGTCAGTTGCATTCTGAGAACCACCCCACTTGGAATATTCCTGGCAGTAGCATAAAACTGTGGATAAAATCCAGTTTGTAACACCAAAGTAAAAATCTTGTTGAAGACCCCAAATACTAATGTTTCTAAATCTATGTAGGCTGCCAGAAGAATCCTTTTCTTTAATGAACCCTTCTTTCCAACCCTGCTCAGATGTTTTGCTGCCATCTCTAGCATTAATGAAAGAGAGATCCTGAACCATCATCCAAACTCTCGAACCCACTGAACTGCATGAAAATTCTATACAGATGGGAAGGGGTAGAAGGAACACCACAGCTCCAAAGTCTTTCTTCATATCACGTCACAGTGCTTTCTAAAGGAAAACATACCTTTATGACCAATTATTGCAGAATGAAAAAGTCAATTTCTTTGAGTAACCTACAAGAAAGCTGAGTTGAGCTTATAAAAAGCAAGCTGCTAGTCTAAAACTGCATTAAGTTAAATTGAAGTGTTTTCTAGCACTAGAGTTTTGGCCATTATTACTGTTAATAAATACTTAGTTACTATAGAGAGAACAGAGACTAAAACTACTTAAAAGAATAAAGTTGTGGTGCAATTACGAAATTAAAAAAAAAGACCAACACACAATGCACCTATATATATAGACATATATACACACACAGCCTGCTGTGATTATATAAATGCCAATGGCATAGGCAACAGATTTGCCTACGGTCTTATAATCTGAGGGTTTTACCATTCAGTTTTGTTCAATTTGTTTTCAAAAAACTGTTCTTGTGGGATTCTCGAGAAACTGGAAGGTTAAAATTTAAAGAAAGCTGTGTTATACACATATTCCTGCTTATATGTACATTTATCAGTCAAAGGGTTACTAAGATACATGCATAACAATAATTTATGACGGACGTGGTTTAAGGCCTGTGCCCACTGATCCTCATCAACCTGTTTTACTGACAAAATTAGCAGGTGAGAAGAGTAAGCAATACAAGCAAGAAACAAAAGCACAAATTCCCCTTGTTTATATCGTTGTCCTTCAATATCGTTGTCCAAAAAGAAAAGAATCAGGCACTATTCTAAAAATTCAAAGAGTTCTGAGCAGTTCTTAAAACAGTGAAGAGATCAGTCGATCAATTAGCTATTACAGCCCAATCTTGTAAAAGGTGGGCAATGAGGCATGAGCATTGTGCTGGATCCACCAATCATTTCCCCAGCTTAAATGGAACAAGAATGTGGGATATAAATGTATTGGACCAATAAGACACCAGATGTTATGACACAAAGAGGTAGCAATAGGATCAATTCGTTGTGCAGGACTGATCTACGTCATCTAGGTGGGAAGAAGTGAGCCTCCTTAGCATGAAATGCAAAAGGATCATGACTAAAGGGGATGGCACGTTAATTTGGGAACAGCAGTATTTTGGTGGCTCAAGATAACAAAATGCTCATCACTGAATTTCATCTTAATATACTGGAAGAGATCTGTTCCACACCTTGCATTGCTAAACCTATAGAAGTAACAAGATACGTATTTCTGTTAGCTATGAAACCAAGTGCTTACAACTATGATGTTTATCTCCTTTAAAAGGTTCAACTTTAGTTAATAAAATAATTTTGGAACATTAAAGAAACAAATTTCAAAATGCAGGCACAGCCATTCTTTCACACTCTTAAAGGATTTAAATAAATATTGGAATATATTTAGTTGTCCTCATGTTATTAAGATTATTGTTAGATTGTTCTTCTTTGTTTTCTGGAAATAACTTTCTACTTGTTTTCTAGGAAGATTATTGCTGTAGACAAGTCACATATTGTCTTATATGTATTTCAGGGAAGAACTGAAAGGGATCTGCTGGAAAACTCTACACTTCCAGATTAACTAAAAGGAAAAAAAGAGATTACTAGAATTATAGCAGATCTTCAAATATTGGTAGTCTCTTTTCACTGCATTCAATTTTAAAAAAACTATATTCAAAATAGGAGTAATCAAAAAATAACTTTTCAGACTTTTGCACACATATTGGACTGTTAAACTAAAATCAGAAGTACTCTGAATTTAAAAGAATACATTTAGAGCTCCATAGTTTCTTGTTAAGGAACAGAAAATCTCAAAAGTCTCTCTCTCTCTTGCTATAGCACATGACCATTTTGCAAACACAAAACCTATGTTGATATCTTGAAAATGTGCAGCAGAAACATAGCTTCCAGACGCTTACCTTTCCCAAACATCACAGCTACAACATAATGCAAGGGCTTCTGATGGCGTCAATATTCTTCCAGCTATCCTAGAAAAGTGTGTTGTTTGCCTGCATTAAATCTCTAATTGTGTGACTTAACATTAATTCATTTTTTTCAAAGTATGAACTACACACCATAATGTAGCAGCTCCAAAGTAACACATGTAAAACTGTGCAAAAAGTGCTATAAAGAACAGTTTAGCAAGGATCAATCTCTGATTCTCATCCAAGCTTTCAGAACAATGTAGTCCCCCGCAACCCAAAGTAGTAAAATCAATTTTCAGCACAGTGGCAAAAGTTCTGAGCATCTGTACAACAAGTATCTATTATTATCCTTTACAACTGTATTTAAGGTAGCATTCCCCATAGAAATGAAGAGGAGATTTGAAGAAAGATGGAGAAAACTCTCATTGGCTAAGTATTCCCATTTATGGGGAAGTGCCTGCAGCATGTACAGAAAGAATTGTGCAACTATTCCTTGTCCTGGCTCAAGCTGAGAAGTTAATTAGTCTTATTTATTCTTATTCAACCCTACCAATGTATATTAGTTTTGCCTTGCCTCTGATTTACATTTTTAAATTAAGAGTCACTCTTCAAGACAAAATAGAACAATAAGTTCTTATTAATTCCATGAAGTAATAAGTGCAATTTCATTACTATGGCCAGTATCCTGTCCCAACATTTACATGAGCAGATTTCCAACTGCAGAAGCTGCTCTGGCAATCCAACAATATGCCAGTCATGCAACACTCACAGGCTTGACCATGTGACCTGGTCAGATTACAGTGTCAACTTCTGCAGTTGGAGTTCCGTAAACCTAGATACTGTACTGAACAGGATACTGGTATATGTAGCTAAATCTGTTTTACCTCAAGGTTATTACACAATACCTTTTTGGTTCTGGAAGCAATATACATTACAAAGAAACTATCATAAGAGATGAAGAAATAAAACCACTGATTAAGAAAGAGAAATTAAAAGTTTTGTAGTGGTCCACTATGCTAACTTAAAGCTTCAGTTAGTAAACAACTGGCTCTCCTCTCATCACTTCAGTACTTTTTATCAGGTTTTTCATACCGTGACACTCCAGAAAACCATTTGTCCAGTTGCAACAAGAAAACACACTGAAATCAATCTGTGCTTGCAACAATTACCATTTAGCCTATGTCTATTAGCATTAGAAAAACATGGGAAAAATACAAATGTATTTCAATGGAAAATAGCTTTGAGTATTACTTTCAGAATATATATACCTTATGTAACAGAAATGTTTAACTATTTTTCTACAACATTCTATTTAAGTTAATGCATAGGATAGATACTGTTTTGTCCCTGACAGCAAAGCATGAACGTCAATCTTTGGGATATGCATCTCCCTACATGCAAGGGGAACTGTTCTTACCACACTGATGTTCTGGACATCTTTATGAATGGCTTTTCTAGAAACACCATGTCATTTGTTGTAGTGTAAGATTGCAGATACTGCAAACAGTTTTTTAAATGTCAGAAGGAAAGAGGGGAAGCTATTTATTGGCTCCTAGAAACCAAACAAATTGACTCAATTAGTTGCCTTAAGGAACCATAAGCATGGAGAATCCATACAGCTTTATAGCATCAATGCGAGTTACCCCAAGATCATATACTTCTTCCACACATCTTGTTTAACTAGAATTGCTTTGCCACACAATAAATTATTCCCTGGAAGGCTTTTCTCAGAAGGGGACAGATCAAATAGAATTGAAAGCACACTAACGGGATAACTTGTTTAGTTGGCTGTACCTATGTTAATCTGATATTTGGAGGCCAAAATGCTTGGATCATAGCCCAAGAGGAAAGAGTTCTCAGCGAAACTGGAGAAGTGACAGTACTGGGGGACAGTGGTGATAAGACAAGAACAGAGAGGAAATCTAGGCTTGTTTGTATCATATTGACTTGTTTATCATGACTCAGTGTGCATCACCATGAGGCACAATTAAAAATGAAAGCTTATCATGATGGGATGCAGAGATGTTGGGGACAAAACAGAGAAGAAGAAAAAACAGGAATATGCATTGTACTTGGCCATCACATGAACAATTCCTCCGAGTCTTTCCATTTCATCCAAAAATTCAACAGCAAATGGCAAAGCTGATACCAAACACTGAATTGCTGAACCATCACCAACTTTTCAGTCCTGAACTGAGGCAAGATGACTTTCAGCTTTATGCATGCCAGGAAATGGAAGCAGCAAGGCCAAGGGTATTAAATTCAGGCACACAACTGAAAGACTACTGCATTGTCTGTGGCTCATAATGTTACAAATGGAAATAAGAGAAGTAGGGAAGTATAGAGAAGCATATATATGTATTTATAAATATTTATAATATATAATTTATCAGGAGAACATGCAACTATTGATATAGCACCTATTATACAATATAATACAACAGAATAGGTCTTTTGAATCATACAGTTTCTCAAGTAACATCAGGTATGTTCTGCCCATTGCATTCCTCTGTAATGTTTGAAACCTGAATGAGGCCATGGTTCAACACTGCTACATTACTTATGGGAAACAATATACACATTAAGAGTAAAAAAATTCCAACACATTCTGACAGAACAATAGAAATTCAGTGCAGCTTTGATGCAGCATTAGAAATGTGTTAGCTTAAAGAGAAAATATTCCCTTTTCCATCCAAATATACTATTTTGGCAGCAAATGAAATTAAATAAATAAAAGTTAAATAAAAAAGTATTTATGCTGGCTAGAGGCATATGACTATAGCAAGCAGATCAGTATGTGCCAATGTATTCAGTATTCATGTTTCATATCTTCCCTAACAGGTACTAATTCAGAAAGCTGGTTTCATTTTAAAAGAGTCTTATGTTTTACTTTTCTAATCCACTAATGATTTCTGAACACCACAATGAAGTCATTCCTTTGTCAGATAATTAAGAAAAGTATATGGAAACTTTAGAAGCTACTGGCTTTATAGAGAATAACAGTTCTAAAAGTGTAAGACAATCTCAAAACACTGATTTCCTCTGTGCTGCTTCCCACATTTCAGCATTCCTATTTAGACCACTAGTGGGTAACCATACTTGAACATGTGAGTAATGAACACGTGTTTCAATGTAAGTTTAGGGTCACTGAAATGGGAATAACAACTTTGTGATCAGTAGGTTTTACTGCCAAGTATTCTTTCCCAAATTCTAAAAGATATAAAGGGATTGCTGATTTTCTCTGACATAGTACATGCAAAGACTTCCTTCTAAAGTGAAATTAAATTAATTAAATTAGCGCTGAATTGTGTGTGTGTAAAGATTCTGACTGTTCCTTCAATGAGGTTACATTGGAAAGGAATAGTGCATGTAAGGTTCAATGGGCTAAACATCCCCAAGAGGTACATTCTGGATACCTTTAAAAATGGTTCTCCTTTGTACCCTGAGAAGCTATTGTGTTAACAAAGGCTGAAATGACAAGGTTCTTCTACAGTCTCCTGTTTTCCTTCTCTAATTCAGCTTGCGAGAATTTCCAGATCCTTCATTTATTATATGATGGAAATTTGAAGGAAAATGCCCTGGCTCTAAAAATTATCATATGGATAAGTGATGAAATTGTCCAGCGACAGGGTCTAAAGAGCAATTTAGAAGAATGCTCAGGACCTGCAAATTAAGGGTATATAAAAGTTCTTTTCCTGAAACTCTTAAAGTTTTTGTTTGTTATCCTATGAACATCTATCTAAACGTTAAATGACACTGGCTTCCATTAATTTATTTGACTTTCTATATATAAAGATGCAGCCCATATACAGTGGTAAAAAAGAGGAAATTTTGTTTTGTTGTTAATGGAAGGAGGCATTAGCCAGGACGAAGCATGGGTGGTGAGCAACTTTGAATCAAGGTGTGATGCCAGTACTGAAAGAGAGTATTAAAGGAATCTTCTTGTTCCAAATAATGTCTTCTTATAAAAAAATCTACAAACACACAGTTGAGTAACTGAATAGTATCTTCAGATGTTATGGTGTCATGGTAAAAGTTAAGATTTTTACTTTTAAGAGAAATTTGGGATTTTTAAAATTATTAAACAAACCAAAAACAAAATCTTGCTAAAAAGCACCCACTTCTGAGACTGTATTTGTTCTGAATGTTTCACATATCTCAGGTTTTCTGATGCTCTCCAGCCAACCTGATCTGCTTGCTGCCTGCTTTTAGGCAATGCCTGAACACTCTTTCACGAAGTACGCATTTTAAACCATTTATCTTAGAGCTGTTTCTCTTTGAAAGTCAGTATTAGCACTGATTTTTGTAGACTTTCTTTTTTAAATACACAGTACACAGACACAACATGCATCAGATTACAGAGAAGGCTTTGACATCTGACAAGACTCAGATCCTATCTGCTAAGTTTACTGGCCGATTTGCTTTTCGCTGTGGGAGATTTAATGTTAGAAGAGTGGTGGCAAGAGCCAGTAGATCCTTTCAGACCATTTTTGTTAGACTTGTTATAGCAGTGCTCTTGCTGGCAAGACCTCCTGGAAGATGAAGAACCTGAAAGACTGGGAGGTGATTTACTCCTTCCAAGATGTGGGGATGAACTTCTCTGGTCATGGTGCTGCCGTCCACTCCGGGATGGGGAAGAACTGGCAGTACGGGGCAAAGAAGAGCTCCTAGGGGAGGCACTAGGGCTGCGTCTGGGAATGACAGGGCTTTTGGGTGGTGTTTTGGGGCTATGTGGGGATCCTGGACTCTTAGACTGAGAAGAGCTCCGTGGTTTCTGAGATCCATTCTGAAGGATTTGAGCCAGACGAGAGATCAGGTCAGAATCAGAGCTGCTACTTCCTAGCACTTTGTACCTGCGTAACCTTGAAAAGAAAGAGAAAAGTGGTTATTTCCATTTTTTCCCAAAATGTCATGACAGCTTGTAAAATATGTCGTTATTTATATTATTTATTGCTCACTCAACTTAAGATGCTGTTGTTAAAGCCTTAAAAGGCATAAGACCAAAGTACCCCAATAACTTCATCTTATGAACCTACACTAAAATCATCACCAAAAACTCTTAAAGGGTAAGAAACTTCATTCATTCATTCGATTTTTATACTGCCCATCTAACCCAGTGGTTACTATGGGCAGTTAACATGAATAATAAAAAATATTATACACATGTACCGCACAGGTGGAAATGAGCTCCATTGCACTATCTTCAATTCTCTGAAAAGCCACTGGCCAATAACCTGCTTGGGAAAATTGTGATCATAGGAGTAATCTTGCTGTCATTTTGCCTTCTGGGTTGCCATGCATCACATGACCAAGCATAGAACTATGTGCTCAACCATTAGTTTAGAAGACCCATAGAATAATGTAGCTGGAAGAATGAAGATATGATGTGATATTTTGTACTAAAATAATTAAGGGTGTATGTATAGAAAATGCGATCCTGGAAATATTTGTTGTAATTTTAAAATGAGGTTTGAACTGCAGTTTATTAGAAGTAGCTGCAAAACAATCAGCCAGTTCTTCAGCCAAGTGTGAAAGCAAGGTCACTGTACATAAATACTGCCTTGCAAAGGAATTTCATTCATGGTTGACAGTACAGTTTGGATGTTTTTTGAAAAGAGTGAATTGAAAATATATTGAAATTAGTAAAATGTTCTAAAACGTTAACAGGACAGATAGGTGGCATTTGCAAGTCCTATAAACTTGTACTTTCTGCAGCTATTATACTATTGATTTTACAGTACCTTGGTATACCAGATCCTTAATTTTACACTCATTCCTCCAGGTTTTCTAAATTTTAATCACAACAATGATGCTTATTGTTATAGTGGCAGCTTGCCAGATTTTGTGGTTGAAGCTCCTGTAGTTACAGAAGGTGCAAGAACAATAAAATTTCCTAATTAAAACATTCTGGTGCATCAGACCCCTGTAACTTACAGGCTCTGGAAAAGAGATTGTTGACAGACTGGGGGAAGGTGTGCACATCTGAGGAATATAAAAGTAGGAGGGTATAGCTACAGCTACATTTAAATCATCAACACAAGAAGGCAACATAACATGACACAACATGCACACACTGGATACCAACAATCATGTAGCAGCAAAAACAATAGTAGCAGATAAGTACAACATGGATTTTCCTCCATAGATTGAGACCACCATGTTTCCCCGAAAATAAGACAGGGTCTTATATTAATTTTTGGTCCAAAAACGTGTTAGGGCTTATTTTCAGGGGATTTTATATTTTTCATGTACAAAAATCTACATTTATTCAAATACAGTCATGTCATCTTCTTCTGGTTGCTGCACAATGCTGCACAATGGGATTTCACTTAACTGGGGCTTATTTGGGGGGTAGGAATTATATTTCAAGCATCCTGAAAAATCATACTAGGGCTTATTTTCAGGTTAGGTCTTATTTTCAGGGAAACAGGGTAGGCTGGCTGGGTGAGCATGTAACTTTGTCTGTGTACATATAATAAGCTTAAAGGCTAAAAAATCAACTTTATATATTCTTAATTTTAACAACTTTTATATTTTTAGAGATACATTTCATGCTTTTCCAATGTTGCTTTTTAAGTTACAAGCTTCTACATTTTTTGAATATATGCTCCTGCAATTTTGAAACGTAATTACAACATTGTTGAAGTTCTGTTTACAATTTGAATTTTGGGTTTAAATTTATTTTGTTTTCAGCTTCTCGTAGTTGTAAGAACTTGGTTTGTTTGCAGCTTCTCATAGTTGTAAGAACTTGGACGTAATCACACCTGCAAGCCACAAGCATGGATCCATGCTTACAGTTTTTTCTTAGTTGTAAACTTCTGGGTGTTTTCAATATTTGAAGTATTTTGTGGCTTACGGAACATAGAAGCAATGTAGATAAATAAGCTAGTAGAATTGGACAAGCTGATATTGCCTGGAATCATTGCAACAATGAAAAGATACCTTGATATCCAGAGGTAATTGGATATGACTGATATAATTTGAAATGATTAGCTGGTTTCATTCTCAAATTAACCCTTAACTGAAATTAATACCAGTTGTGACAAACACAGGCTTCTGATTTTTCCCTAGAAGTCTACAAAGTTCTGTAGGGCTCTTGGAGAAATGTTCAAGCATTAGACCCCCTGACCTGACAGAGGGAAAGATTTGCAATTTGTATGATACTATAGAAAAGTTTTCTAAGACACTCAAATGCATTTCAAAGACATACTTATTCTTTCTTACCTGGCTTCTACTCCAGGCCTTGTTGGTGGTCTTCCTGGTGGTGGCCGAGGAAAAAACTGAGCTGAGTTTGAATTGCCAATATGATCTGTTGTAGTCCAAGATACAGGTCTTGGAATTTTGCTTTTCCGAGATTGAGAACTGTTCGGTAACAACAAACTCTCTTCTACTTGGCTGTGCAAATGAGTGTCCAATGTTAGTTTCGAAATGGAGGACAACACATCTTCAGAAAGTGGCATGGGACCACTAACTACTTTTTCCTTCAATGACTTGTCAGAGGCACTTGAGAGGTCACCAAGGAAAGATCTGAGTTGTCTCTTTTCTACCAGGAGTCTAACCAAGTCTGTTTGATGGGCTTTTTTAAGAAACAGTTTCTCCTTTGCTGAAACATGAGAAGACTCTGATGAGGAATCTATATCTTGTGCTAAAACTGGAATGCGACTCTGTCTAGCTACAAATGGTGACCTAACTAACTCCTTCTTGGACTGAATAGAACTTTCATTTTCTGAAACAGAGTGGAATAGTTCACCATTTCTTTGATCTTTTTGTTCTTCTTTTGCTTCTTGATGCAAAAATGAGGCAAAGTTTTCCTTTTGACATTGCACTTCTTCAGCATGATCAATATCTCCTTCATCATGGAAGCCATTTTCTTGCACCTGTACTTGATTTTCCAGCTTCTGAGCAAATGGGTCAGTACTTCTTGATAAAGAAACATCCGTTGTTTCAGCTACCGACTGCTTCAATAACTCCTGTTTTGCATCTTGATTTGGCAATGAGCAGGATGTCAATGGCTTCAGTTCTTCTGGTTCTGTAAGCGCCTGAGGCTCATCCAACACAACCTCTGCATTTCCTTGGTTAGTTAAGCACAGTCCTTTAGTCTGTGTTTCAATGGCATCTTTGCAACCCATGGAAAGCTGTTTGTTTTCTTCAAAGAGATCTGTAAGTTCTCTCTCTCCTTGCCTTTTTATGTATTGTTCCAGAAGATCTGCTTGGCCATGATCTCGGATTCCAACACCTTCTCCAACACACCCCTCCTTATCCAGTGCTTCTAGATTTTGGTCTAATTTGAGAACAAGATCTGTTCTACTACCACTAGGAGTTAATACATCATTTGCCACCAAAGAATTAGCATGGTTCTCCTTAGGAGAGGGAAGTCCAATGTTATGTTCCAGAAGGTGAGGATCCCGATCCTTTTTGTCTAGTTGCTGACCATAATGAAAACTCTCAGAAGCAGACTGTGTAGATGCCATTGATGGTCTTGGTATTGTAACCTACATGGGGAGAAAAAGAGGAAGGAATTATGATTTTACATATTTGATTATTTTTAGCTTTGAAACCACCACATTCTCTTACAGTATTGTCAAATTATCTTCTCAGGTTTAAAATGGCAGTTAACAGTTAAATTGCTTGCATGGGATTAGACAACAGCACTCCATCCAAGCACATGTTTAAAATGTGCCAAAATTCCCTGAACACACTGGAAGATAACTAGTGACAATTTAAGTTCAGGTTATTAGTTGGGGTTGACCTGGCAATACAACAGTGTGGGTGAATATAATACAGACTGAGCCTGTCTCATCATAAATCTGCTCAAAACAACTGTTAAAACTCTTGCTCTGCCTTCATCCATTTCAAGGTCTCCACCACTGTCTTTGTTCTGGGTGATTCTATTGACTCAGTCTGTGCACATGATACTCCTCCTACCCACTGTGATACTCATTCCCCATTTCCATAGGAAGATCCTCTTCACAGCTTTTCCCCTCCACATTTTTCCTGACTGACCACCTCACATTCCTTTTCTTTTGTTACCAGGTACAAATAGATAACATTTATTTCTTTCCCACAATTTAACTTGTGCATCCAACCATCTAATATTTATCAGAATGCCTTTTTTATACCCACTGTCCTTAAGATGGAACTATTTACAGTATTTCTCTTTGCACTATTGTCAATGACAGCCATCCATTTTGTTGACAAGAAATCTTACCCTATCCTGACTTTTCTATTTCATTTGCTCCCATGTTAGTTCTGCCAGCAAATCATGTAATATTATCCTGAAACACTTCTAAAAAATAATCCAACCACTTGTCTCAGCCCATCTACCTAAAACATTGCTTTATGCTGTAGTCATCTCCTGTGTTTCTAAAGCAGATTTCTTCTTCCTTCCTGTCCTTTATCAACACTAAGTTCTTTCATCCAAGGTTCTGTTATACGAACCTTCAGTTCGTTCATTATTCAGTTGACACGGCACGTTCTTTAAATCCCTTCACTGGCTTCCCATCTCCTTCTGCATCTATACAAACGTTTGTGTGTGTTTTTTTTTAATTTGTGTTCCACCCTTGTCTTTTTGTCTTTCTTTTCTCTAACATTCCCCCATGGCAGTGACTCTTGAAGACTGAAAACCTCAGTCATCTTGACATCCTTGAAATAGTTCCACTTTGCCTCTCTGCTCACTTCATACCAAGAACAATTTATCAATACATCTATATGATTGCAGTGCCGTCTCTTCTTTCAGAACCCACCACAAAAATAATTTTTCTTAATGTCTTTAGGTGTCAACATTTAATAACTTATCAGTTGTCATTGCCAACTGAAATAATGCTTAAATAGGGCCAAATGCATTTATTTACATTTATGTTACTTTTACCCCCAGCCTCCACCTGCTGTTTAGGGCCAATCTTGTACAACATAATATTATGCATGTTAACTCAGATGTGAAGCCTAGTGGAGCTTACTTTGGCACACATAATATTGCCACACTAGTTTGTAAAGAACCATGTATGTTGATGGTGTCAAGCAAATTGAATTATTGCAAAAATGTCTATTCCAGACAGTATTCTGTAAGTAAAGCATAAAATAAAATTAAAAATCCCTGCAAAATCACCTACATGTTCTTATGAAATGCACGGCTGCTAAGTAATGTGAGATGATTGTCAATAAAAACTATTTGATAAAATTATGTAAAGTTTGCATAACTTGCCACTCATAATTGGTAAGGTACTGGGACATGCTCACACGCCTATTCATGCACCTGAATATGCAGTCAAGATGTGCCCTGACAGTTCATCAATTAGTCACAGCAAGTTATGCAAGCCTTATCCAAAATACCGATACAATACCAGCCACTGTGTGATCAGAAGGAACAAACATGATTCTGATTACTGCTTCTAAAATGAGAAAAAAGGATTCCCATAAGAATCAAAATCAGATCAAAATTATGTTACCTAATCAACGTGTGGCAGCAGTCTTATCAATCCCAGTTTAACAAGGTCATTGTCAATGACATAATAAGAGGTGGACTGTAGATTCTAGAGATCCTGGATCACTGGGCCTTGAAAGTTACTGGACATCCCTAGGCCAGTTACTTTCTCCCAAACTAAGTCATCTTATGGAGGGGGATAGAAGAAAAATCATGTAAACCTATAATGTACCCCCAATCTTCAGCGCTGCTGGGCAGGGCTCTGCCTCTCTTGCGCATGACTCAACACGCTCCCCCATGCACAGGCTTCTGTCACGTCCAGAACCAAAAGGGCTGAAAACCATCACTGTGTGGAGGAGAAGGAAAGCTGCGTGGAGGGAGATGGAGTCACAGGCACATGCTTTAGAAGGAACTTTGTATACCACCTTGAATTGTTGCAGAAAAGATGGATGATAGTGTAGCTAATAATTAATACATAAAATACACAGATAACAGTAAAGAAAGCAACAAAAACCTAAAAAAGCAAAGTCATCTTGGGAAACTAAGGAAACTAGAGAAAATAATTTAAAACTTTGAAAAGCAAAAGCTGACAGTCCAGTCCTCCTGTGAAGCAAAAATCAAGAGCCTTTTGTTTCTTCTCTAACATTAGCAAACATTTTACTAGGTAACCAATCCCAATGAATGTGCGGATGCTCTGAAGAAGCACAGGAATGGGACAAAAGGCCCTCCTTCTATCTCATGCTACATCTGGTCACAGCCATAAACACAAAATGAAAGACATATAGGCTAAATTAGGATTTTATAAATTGCATGACACACCTTATAAGGCGGTGTGTGAAGAACTGTCTCTAGTCTGTGGCTCCATTCAAATGTACTGGGTCCGCAGGGGGCCATATGGCCCGCTGAGAATGGTTGCCTCCTCCCAATTTGAGGAACCACTGATACGCACTCCGAGATTCTATAAGCAATTGTGTAGCCACCTGACAGTTGCTCTACCCAATCTGCACCTAATAAGCCTGCTAACATGGGGCCCTTGAGCTGTGAGACCTTGAGGCTGAGTAAGCTTCAATGTGTCATAAGCCTAATTTATAGAGGTAATTACCCATCTGCCCAAGGTTTGTTTCAAAATCCTTTTACAAGAAAGGAGGTGGGAATTAAATTAAAAGGGTATTTGAATGCCTGAACTCTTTGGTGTGAGAAACTAAATTTTCAATACTCTCCAGATGTCCAAATTATGCCAGGCCTTTTCCAGCAGATGTGTAGGGTTAGGGCAGAAAGGGATTAAAATTAAATCTTGAAAAACATGTTTTGTACTGCCAATGCAGGCAACTCTGATACTTCTCACAGAAGTGATAAACAACAGGAAGGACATCTTATAGGAGAGAAAGAGAGGAATTAGAGGCTTGAATTGGGTTTAGTAAGGGCCCTGACTACAACACTGAGGTTTCACATCAGGAAATGATAGAGAATGGATGGGGTTAACTGAGATATAACCCTGAGGAAACTCTTGAGATGCCGGTGGGTGGACTTGGAGAGGACAAATTACAGTGACACTGCTTAACATTGGCAGGTGTTGGGATAAGAGTCCCTTATCAAATCCATTTTACAGGAAGGAAAAGAGGACAGGGTTAGAACCTGAAAGGAAGTTGATGCTCTTGGCCTTAAACCACCTACTGAACACTTTACAAGTTGATTTGCATATTCAGGCAGTCAATTTTCACCCAGAGGCTAGGAGAGTAAAAAGTTGGATGAGTCTATGAAATTTAAGATTCTACATTCAGTTTCCAGACAGCTAGGTGGAGTTAAGCTGGATCATGATAACAAATGGGCCCTGCATTAACATGTCCCCAAAATGTGAAAGAAACCAGAGGGGAAACATGGCTAGTCTATCTATAAAAACCAAGGCCTCTTCAGTCAAAATGAGCTATTAGGATTGCCTATGCTTGTTCAAAATGCATTTTGTGAAGAGCTCTCACTATGAGTGGAACAGGATGGAAGAGAAATAGAAGATCCAGTGGCGAAGATCCAGTTCCCTCTACAAATGTTTTTGTTTGTTTGTCAGAGAAGGGAAGATGTCAGCCTCCAGAGGGCTGAATAGGGTGTCTACATAAAGAAAGACATATATTCAAAGTCTCCATTCTCCTGGAAGCAGTGTTATCTTGCTGAAGAATTCTGTATGTATGTTGAGGGGTGCTGAGCTGAAAGGGACTGTAGATCAACTTCTGCCCATATGAACAGTAGAGCTGCTTTCCTCAAAAGTGATGGGGAGCTGGAATGCTCCCTTGGAACTCCACTGTGAGTGTCTTCTAATGGGGACCAGAGGCCCTGTATTGGCTGATTCTGGCAAACGTCTCCCCATCCTGATTAAGCCTGGCTCTGCAGGTCCACCACATGAGATTCTCTCTGAAAAAACAGAAATGGTTGCTTGGGCAGAGCTCTCTTGTACAGAGGGTGCTGGGATTGAAGTAGAAACTGTCTTTGGTTTTGAGTATTTTGGTATCCACTAAAGCATTTGGTTGGTTAATAATGCTTTACAAATATTGACAGAGGCTGTATGGGTGATCTTGTCTCTATGACGTGCACTTTTAATATAAGGCCTTAAAGGGCATAAGCACAGGCTGAGCCCACAGAGAAGACTATGATGATCTTTTTAAAAAGTTGTTTTTTTAAAAAAAGGAAGACAAATAGAAAAACAGAGAAATAAGAGAAATTGATAGTTAATTAGGAAAAAACAATGTCAAGCAGCAGAGATCACTCTGAAACACGTCCTTCTCATGACAGACCAAAAAGAACTGAGGGATTCTGGGTTGGGGAAATGGGAAGCCTGCCCCCACCTTGGACTATGCTATTGACATGCTTACTGACATGCATAGTGCAAAGTGGGGGCAGGCTTCCCATTTTCTGGTCAGCTCTAGAGAGTTCCAAATACCTCTCTGTGCAGGCACAGAAACCCATTAGTGTGAGATACAGAGACATGAAGAATTTTACTTATTTATTGCACTAATCTTCAATATGACTTAAGCTATTCTGAGAAAAAAGTGAAAAAGAGTGAAAAACTTGATCAATTAAAATTCTTTTTAGTACAGAGGTTATTTATCTATTTTATTACTCTTAATTTATAAGACACACTGGCCAAAATCCTGTTGAGAACCTATATGAGTGTAACTCGATGTTATGCCCATAAGAGTTACAATAGCACCAAGATGGATGGAAGTGCTATCCATAAAGCACTTCGACTGGCACATTGCATAACTGGTTACAAATGAACAGCATAATTAATTGAACCATCTGCACTATGCCTGGCAAAGTTATACCTGTATAACTTTATGTTTCATGGCAATGAACAGGATTCTAGCTGTGAGATCTATCCTAATGATGATGATGATGATGATGAGGAGGAGGAGGAGGAGGAGGAGGAGGAGGTCCAGGAAGGTATGAAGTCTCCTGCCTTGGGCAGGGAGTTGGACTAGAAGTCCTCCAAGGTCCCTTCCAACCCTACAATGATTCTATGATTGTATGATTTCACACTTTTAGTTCTATTTTTTTTCATTAAAGCTAAGCATACTCCCCTGCCTTGAAAACTTCTCTTGCTCTGCACAGCACAGTGTTTTGTTTTTTAAGAAAATGAAACTGCATTCTAGGAAACAAAAAATTAAATATACAATGCTGCTTTGGTTTGAAATACATGAAATTTTAAAATATTTCCTGTATATCCTGTCTTTCTTCAAAAGAATTCAAGACAAACATCTGTTTACACATTGGGCAGACTCAGACCTACTCCAAGTGAGGAAGGTGACTGCCTTTATGTATCATCAGATCATGAAGGTCAGAATTCTCTTGAGGAAATACATAGTGCAAAGTCAATCAGACAAGGTTTCCTCATTCCACAGGATATGCTTTGTGAGTCTGATTGCACACCAGTTAATGAAATCAAACATTCAAGCTATGCAAGCTATCACACAAAAGACAACACATCAGAGGGGAGAATCACTGTGTGACGGCCCTTGCATGCCCATTTCTGGCACAATAGGATTTTGGCTGAAACCTCCCGCCTCATAGGCAATAGAGCACTTTTAAACATTAATGTCATTTCACCATGAAAAAGAACGAACAGTATCCAAATATGAATAAGAAAAGCTTCCAGTTGCTGCAGAAAAACAGTATTTACTAAATACTCTGATAGAATTTTTAAGATAAGTATTTTTGAAACATTAAGTGTCATTTTATCTACAGTTATTGAGCATTTCAAACCAGTAAAGAAACAGAATTACCCACACCACTATCTTGTGAGGAAGAGACAAAAAGAGGGAAGAAATCAAGTATATTTATGGACTGTGTAATCAGATACATCCATGATGCTATTGTATGTAAAGCAAAATAGAAGCTACAGAGAAATATCCTTCAGACATGATAATATTTATGATAGGATGGACTGAGATGAAAGGAAAATCCACACTGTTTAATAGTCATTGCAAACAGAAGTTCCTTTATAATTGCTACCAGTTACCAAGACTACTTTTCATCAATTTTGAATGTCTTCCTCAGAAAGCTAGTTGGCTTAAATATTTGCCCCAGTTCTGAAAACCAGCAAAATAAAACTGGACTCCTATTTCATTATAACTTGCTGGAGTATTCTAGTGACTGGCCTGGCTTAAACACTCTATACTATGTTCTCAATATTTACTGAATCCTCCATATTTGTTCTTATTACTACAGTAGTTTTTCTTACCATTAACTGTGGTGTCTTGGAATACATATTTGCTTTTTGTTATAGAAATACTGGACAGATTTTTTTATCCATACCACACTACAAAGTCTCTCTCCCTTGCTCAAACATAAACACATCTTAGTATATTTAGTAATAAAAGTTCAGTTATGATTCCTGATTTTTATTTACTAACGACATATTCTAAGACCAAAACTTCAAATTTTTGATTAACAGTTTCTTTTGAATAATTATTTTTATGTTCTTCTTGGTAAATCTGCTTACTCATTCTACCTCAGTATTTCAGTAATATATTTGCCTATAATTGATACCATTTAAGCCTCCACTCCTAAGAGGAATGTTTTCCAGCCTTACCTCCTCAAAGATATATTCAGATTATCTAAATAATGCAAAGTAGCTGGCAGCTCAAAACTTTGCAACTGACTGACATAGTGCAGATGCTTTGATGGAAATGAAGATGTATTCACCTGCTGGACTTGTGCTTTTGAGATGCGAATGACAGGGGGAAACTTGTTTCCACCAGGAATGACAGGAAGTTGCCTACGGGCAGCTGAACAAGAAGAGGAAGACTGGCTCTCTGCCGAATGACTCCTTGGGAAGCCAGACTCTTTCTTAGGCTCCAGACAGGTGGTGAAGTGGGCAATAGGGCTCAGGGTACGGAAGATGGGACTTGAAACTCTTGGGATGGAGAAATGCAGCATGTGAAGTGAGCTGAGCTGTGAGGACAACATGGCAGGGAAAAGAGAAGATGTTTCAAATATATAATAGGAACACTTTGTTTTGGTCCAACTATGTAGGTATGTAGTTTCATCCTCTGCTTCTTACAGTAATCTTATTGCAAATAATAAATACAGTGGTGCCTCGCATTACGACATTAATTCGTTCCAGCGAAATTGCTGTAGAATGAAAATGTCGTAATGCGAAAATAAAAAGCCCACTGAAATGCATTGAAACCCCTTCAATGCGTTCCAATGGGCTGGAAACTCACCGTCCAGCGAAGATTCTCCATAGGGCGGCCATTTTCGGTGGCTGTCTTGCGAGGAATCCGTCCCAGAAAACAGTGGGGAGCCATTTTATTTACCAGACGGCCATTTTGAACCCACCAATCAGCTGGAGGAAAATCGTTGTTTTGTGAAGAATTGGCTCCCGAAGCAGGGAACCATCATCACAAAGTGAAAAAAACCCATTCAGACCATTGTTTTGCGATCGCAACTGCAATCACAAAAAGATCGTCGTAATGCGGTTTCGTCGTAATGTGGGGCAATCGTAAAGCAAGGCACTGTAATAGTTTAGAATATCTGTATTTTAAAAATCCCCACATCACTACATAACTACACCTCTTCAACATAGCAGTCTTACCCTATGTACCATTCAATCCTTTTGAAAGTCACCGCTTGCAAAAACATTTACTAACTGAAATCTTTTTGCTCTAACACAGTTAAGTTGCAACTACAGTAGATCTATTTCAGTGAGCCTGATCTAGTTTAGACTTACTAGGCCAAGCAACAGGATTTTAACCAATGTGCTTACTTTAACAATTTTTCCTTGATTTTTTTTTTAAAGTTACAGAATGATGAAATATATTTATTTAGATCCAGACCTTGCCTTCTGCAAATAGAAGTGCTCCTTCCATTTGTGAAAGGCATCTGATCCAGAAGTAGAGCATTTCTACTGGTGAATGTACCAGTCCCTATCTTCTGGCCTCATACCTCTCCACAAGTGTGTTCTGGAGGGTTTGATGATCCTCCTGAACAGCACAGGAAGTGGCAAAAATTGCCTCCTTTTGTCCCATCCACTGAATTTAAACAAACAAACAAACAAGGTTTGGTGTGAGTACATTTGATTTCCTTCTTGTTTCCTCAGAAAATCCAACAAACACTTCCAAATCCAGTAATATCCACTGTCAAAAAATAAATAAAATAAATAAATAAAGTGTTTGCAGAAAAGTATCATGCAAGGCAAGTTTGCACAACAATGCCCTTTTATTTAACAAGGTCCCTAGCATAGATTGTTGTTGTTGTTTAGTCATTAAGTTGTGTCCCACTCTTCATGGTCCCATGGACCACAGCATGCCAGGCCTATGACATACACCAATTCCTCTAAAAATGGTTAAGGGAGACATCAAGATGTGTCTGTAGTAGTCACTACCTGTAACAACACTATAATCCTTTCTTTTTGTTATTTTAAGGATAAAACAACAGACTACAATGTATGATACATTTCCTTTCCAAAAGTTAGGTTTAATCACTATTTTTTAACTAATGCAGCATGTAAACAGGACAAGAAATAGAAATCATACAGGGATTATCAAATAATCAGAGGGAAAAAAGAATGCAGAATAGAACAGTGGGCTGAGAAGGATGGGGGTTGGTCAAACTCAGGGAGGGGCTTGATTCCATTTGTATAGTTGAGTTATAGTCTTTTTAACACTTCCAAATACTTTTTCTTATTTGGCTCTAATAATAAAAATAGAAATAATGTCAAGTTTAATTATATACACCAACCAGTTAACTCGTCAGATCTTCTACATTTCCAATGAAGTCTTCATAACCAAACAAACCACCTACACTTGGGTTAAAGGACCATATAACAATCATACAAAAACTACTGAATACTGCTTAGACAATATAACAGCAAGATGAAATACTATATTCTTCTTAAAGAACTACATTAACTATGATTGCAAATGGGATAATAATTTCTACACAATATTTTGATTATGTTTCAGATGCTATGCTTTTGGTCAATGACTTCTCACACACCTTTCATACAAAAGTAATATGCTACAACTATCAGTTGTTCACTTACTGGAGTAAGAGCCCCCTCTGCCTGAGCCTCCATTAGGCTTGTAGGTGTGACAGCAAGAAGATGGCCAGCAGTTCCAACTGGGAATTCTACTTGATCTGCATACTGTTCAGAAGCTGCAATTCCACAGCATTCAACGCCTAGTTCCAAAGCTGTTCCCAAGGCTGTACTCTTGGTATGAGTTGTAAGCTTAGCCTCTTGTGGGGACTCCTCCAAGACCTGAAGCAATTCAGGTTCTTCATCAGAAGGACTTCCAGTAGTTTTATGCCCGGGAACTCCATTAGTCCTAAAATCCTGCAAGTCTCGTTCCTTATCCACAATCACCCATTCTTTGGAGTCAACCTCCTGCTGGCAGGAGCTCAAATTGACAGCCACATATCCATTGCTAACACCACCATCACCCTGTTCAGGAGAACCACCAGAAATAGGCTTGGAAACCTCAGGTAGGTATTCTTCATCATAATGCCAAACATGTTCATGACAGGAAGAAACTGCAGGTTTGAGTGTCTTCTGAAAAGCCAGAACAGCGGATTCCTTTCCAGTATTAAGTTCTCTTTTCTTCTTCTCCATGCTTGGGAATATTGAGAGAAATTAGTGATGTATGATACAACCAATTACCTCTAAGGTTGAGAATAACATGCCCTCTAATGTAAACAAATTCTCAAGTAACCTATTTTTAAAATGATTCAGAATCACTTCATCTATATTACCAGAAGATGTGCAATTAACTTTTCAGAACCAAAATTCTCAAATTATAATATGAAAAACAGGATAATCACTTCCTCTACTCCAGGGGTCCCCAACCCCCGGTCCTTGGCCCGGTGCCAGTCCGTGGCCATGGAACGACTGGGCCGTGGAGAAAGCTCTCCCGCCCCCCACACTCCCTCCACTCACACGCATGTCTCACCCCTCTGCGAGCATGGCCTGCCCACCCACAAGCGTGGGGGATGTCCCCCTGCAAACGGACCCCCCCAACCAGTCCGTGACTCAGAAAAAGTTGGGGACCACTGCGCTATAGTTGCAGCTTCTGAACAGTCCTTGAATTACCTTCCCAACGTCTGCCAGGTAATTCAAGCAGTATGAGTAATAGTGAAGCATGCACCAGAAAACTGTTCAATTGTAAATGATTCACTATAAACAAAGATGACGTAAAGCTTGATGGTTGTGTATGAAATAGTTCAAATTCTGAAAAAAAAAAAAAAAAAAAAAAAAATCAGCATAAAACAGTGTGCAATAACTTGCATACCAGATTTCCAGAAATTTATCCGTATCTGGCTTTGACTCCAAGGTCAGACGTTTCTCCAGTTCAAAACTGTGGATTGATCGCAACTTCCGGACTAGCGGGAGATCCCGATCTGGCTGTGTGGTCTCTGAGCGAACTCTAATAGGAGAGCCAAGGCTTGGTGCATTAAGAATGCCATTAACTGGCCCATGGCTGTTTTCCTCTTCTGTAGCAGCCTATGATAAAGATATAAGAGATCTGTTAAACATTAGGTAAATAAAGACAGAAACAAATATGACATTATGCCTTTCTTTCCTTTCCTTTCCTTTCTTTCAATGCAAGGTAGTTCTTGTAATTTGCTAAACTTGCTAAACAAAGCCTTCTACCCCAACTACCATCTGCTGCTAGGATATATTCATTCATTCATTCATTCATTCATTCATTCATTCATTCATTCATTCATTCATTCATTCATTCGATTTTTATCCCACCCTTCTAGACATATGTCGAATCAGGGCAGCTCACAATAAAATTATTCATAAAAACAATTAAAACGATTTACATTGACAATATTAGTATTAATCAAGATGGAAAATATGAAACAAAAGATTAAGTAGAAAGTAAAAATCAAGTATTGACAGGAGGGAAGGCCTACCTAAAGAACCAAGTCTTTAATTGGCTCTTAAAAACACACAGCAAGGGTGCCAGGCAGATCTCTGATGGCAAGCTATTCCAAAGTTGAGGGGCCACTGCCGAGAAGGCTCGGTTTCTTATTCTTTCTTTCCAGGCCTCTCTCAGCGTTAGGCCCCTCAGCCATCTTTCCTGGCTATAGCAAGTGACTTAAGTAGATCTAGGTGGAAGAAGGCGTTCTGCTAGGTATCAAAGTCCTAAACTGTTTAGGGCTTTATATGTCATCATTAACACTTTGAAATCAATGTAGAAACGAATGGGCAGCCAATGCAAGGCAGCCAGAGTGGGAGAGATATGCTGGTGTTTTCTCGTTCCACTAAGTAGCCTGGCTGCCACATTCTGCACCATCTGAAGCTTCCGCATCAATCTCAATGGTAGCCCCACGTAGAGCGCATTAAAGTAAATATGATTTTGAAATTATTGTTTATTTCTTTTTATGTGAGATTCATATTGACTATTTAAAACAATTAGATAAGGTTTCTTGTATATTCACATCTCAAAAATACTAGCTGACATTGAAGCTCCCTTATGTTGAGTTAGAACATTCATTCAGCTAGCTCAGCATAACACTGCTTGCAAAAAGAACAAATAAGCCTTGTTCGTACACTCCCTCTTTCTCTGATATACAAGAAGTGCACTAGAAAGATGTGCTCCCACTTTTACACTAATCAAAATTTCTTGTAATGTCATAATAATATAAAAAGAGTTATGCTACATCAGTCTAACAGCCTGTCTAGTTTGGCAATGTATTCATCAACTGGCCAACGATTAGCCTTTAGGAAGTGCATTGCAGGATACAAGCATAATAGCACCTTCTCACTTACGCTCCTCAGTAACTGGCATTCAAAGGTATACTGCTTTGATACTGGAGGTAATACATAGCAACAATAGTCATTGATAGCAACCTCCATCATATAAATGGTGAATTCTGGTTAACTATAGTTTGACAGCATGTCAGGATCACAAACTGCTATGGTTAAAACAAAAAAAAATCACAACTTCATGTACAAACAGATAAAATACCTTTAATAATAAGTATGTGTCATCAAATCAATTCTACCTTTTGGCGACTCTTTTCACAGTTTTCTAGGTAGAGAGTACAGTGGTGCCTCGACTTACGAAATTAATCTGTATTGGAACGGTGGCCGTAACTCAAAAATTTCACAAGTCAAAGCACCATTTCCCATAGGAATGCACTGAAAACCATTTAATTCGTTCCGGCCAAAAAAAAAAATCACCAAAAAAATAAAATCAATAAAATCCTCCTGCAGTGGCAGAGGCAGCGGGGATGGGAGGCGGAGAACAATGGGGACGGGTGGCAGAGGGCAACGGGAACAGGAGGCAGAGGGCAGCGGGGATAGGAGGCAAAGGCCAGTGGGGATGGGAGGTGGAGGGCAGTGGGGACAGGAGGCAGAGGGGGCAGCTTCGGAAGCCTGGGATGCCAAAAGCTGCCCCGACCTCCACGCTGGGTGCCGGCTTCCTGGGCTTCCAAAGCCCCCCCTCCCGCCCTCTGCCTCCAGATAAGCAAAGGCTGCAAAATAACCATACCACTTGAATAGGATATGCCAGCATCCATTACGTTCAATGGCTTTTAAGAAACACTTCAAGAAACACAGGAGGAATTCTATTAAAACTCTATCGAAACTTAAAAATAAAACCTCAGTGTTCCAAAACAAAGCCATTACTAGAGACACAGTATCTGCCTGTTTATACAATTTCTTACTTATTCCTTTTTCAGGAGCACGTAACTGGCTATTGCTACTGCAAAAAGGTTTTCTAATTGATCCAGTTCAGATAAATCTTATATTGTAGAAGTAACAAATAATTGTTTAGTACTTACTTTATGGACACCCAGTTTTATTCTGTTTCTATTTGCATCCATTTCCTCCCATACATCCTTTTCCTGTGCACGATGTCCAGGAGACTCAGGTAATTTTTCTGGAGAAATTCCAATAGGGATACCATTCTCACCATCACTGAGTTGTTCATCTGGAAATACTTCATCTGTATTCTCTCGCAGCAGATCTCCTGGAATTGGTGTGGCATTGGCAATTCTATAAAGAAATGAAAAATAATGAAAACTGACAAGAGCATTGAAAGTATTACTACAATGTTTAAATAAATCAATCAATGATACAACTTTGAAACTCTGTGTGTCTGTGTATGTGTCTCTGTATGTATGTGTGTATGTGTATGGATATGGGTGTGTTCTGTGCCGTCATGTTGGAACTGTCTTACAGAGACCCTAATAGAGCTTTTAAGGTAAATGAAACAATTCTCTATGAATACTGGTTAAGCCAATATTCAGCTAGTCATCACCACCTCTCGTCAATTAATGCATACCATTTTTCTCATCTGCTTATAAAACAAGATAGGAGAAGGAGTTATGACATAGGCACAAAGATCCCAGTCTCCTCCTAACAAGCAATAGGGAGTTGGTTTGCAAAGGAAAATTGACAGTCCACCAAGTCAAGACATCATATTGGGAATTTCCAAGAAGGATATAAGTCTGCCATTTCACAGCTTTTCTTGACAATAGTTCCACAAAAACTAGCTAGACATTCTTATAATGTCCTACTTCAGAACTACAGATTTTATACATATGCAAATTCTTGCAAATCAAATGATCAACAAATTGAGATTTCTTTAATCAGATGACAGGGCATCTGATTAAAGATTGAAAGTAGAGACAATGTCAGTGTGCATCTATAAATATAAAATAAGCTGCTCCAATGCTGAGGAATAATCTAATCTAATCTTAGAACTGCAGGATTGGGAGGGACCCTGTGGATCCTTGAGTCCAGCCCCTGTCAAAGAGGCACAGTGGGGGGATTGAACTCCCAATCTCTGGCTCCATAGCCAGATACCTAAATCACTGAGCTATCCAGAAGTTCCTTGTGCTTGTGTGTGTGTTGTGCAAACTGACTTACAGCGACCCTCATAGTGCTTTCAAGGGAAATGAGGTATTTAAGGAGTGATTTTACCAGTTCCACTCCCCCAGTTAATTTCCACAGCTGAGCAAGTATTAGAAACATGTTCTCCAGAGTCTTAGTCCATCACTCTATTCACTATACCACACTAGGAGTACAAGGTATAGATTACAGAAGTATAATTCAAGTTTTCCGTTTATCTCCCAAATGTGCATTACAGAAAACTCTTTTTAATGTTTTATCATCAAATATGGAAGAGCTGTCAGCTGGAGATGGATGGGTTAGAGTAACTGAGTAACACCCTAAGTCTGAAAAGACTTCCCACTATAATTATATGCTCAAACAAAATTTAAAAGAAAACAGCTTTGCAATATGAAAGGTTTGGTCAGGGTAGAGGCACAAAATTATGTACAGTATTGCCTCTCCTCACTCAAGCAGGACTTCCTTAATCATGGTTGAGTGATTACACACCAATATACTATTCTAAATCATCTTCTAACTCAGAACTTTTCACCCGAGACAGAAGATGGAGAAGAGCACATGATCCCTGATAAGTTCCTAATTCCAAAACCAAAGTTATGTAACAAGGAATCTTCTCATTTTCATTAGCCTTAATGAATACAAGCATCTCACATTAAAATAGTTCCAAAGGATTGACATTCTGAGTACTGTACCTCTAAATATATTATCTGTGTCCTTCCCTTGCCACTGAACAATCATAGTCAGATTCCACATCTGGAATTAGTTAGCAAGCCTTTCAAAATAGGGGATGCATTTACATTCAAGGTAGGCATTATGAACTCCTCTATAAACTGCTTGTCAAATACCTTGAAGATCTGAGCCTTAGACTACCTAATGAACAGCCATAGGGCAGCTCAAGAATGGGGCTTTCTTTAAGAAGTGGTGTGCAGCACTGGCCTTTTAGAACAGAAAGTAATTCTGTTCATTCATAATAACCACCAGGACTGTAAACACTAAGCCTTCTACTGGCTGTACCTTCAAGCTCCAGCTTCTTTTAGCTGAACACAGTGACTCATGGACCTTGAACATGACACACTCCCTGACTAAAGTAAAACTGTCCAATATTGCCAGTCCTATCAGCACATACAAACACAGTAGCCACTGTCTCTACATGTTGCTTTATCTTCTTGCATATTCCTCAACTTCAATACAACATTGAGGAGCAAGATTCATCGTTTAGTCATGCCCGACTCTTCGTGACCCAATGGACCAGAGCATGCCAGGCTCTCCTATCTTCCACTGCCTCCCAGAGTTGTGTCAAATTCATTCTGGTAGCTTCGATGAAATTGTCCAACCATCTCATCCTCTGTTGTCCCCTTCTCCTCTTGCCTTCACACTTTCCTAACATCAAGGTCTTTTCCAAGGAGTCTTCTCTTCTCATGAGATGGCCAAAGTATTGGAGCCTCAGCTTCAGGACCTGTCCTTCCAGTGAGCACTCAGAATTGATTTCCTTTAGAATTGATAGGTTTGTTCTCCTCGCAGTCCAGAGGACTCTCAAGAGCCTCCTCCAGCACCACAATTGAAAAGCATCAATTCTTCGGTGGTCAGCTTTCTTTATGGTCCAGCTCTCACTTCCATACATCACTACAGGGAAAACCATAGCTTTGACTATGCGGACTCTTGTTGGCAAGGTGATGTCTCTGCTTTTTAGGATGCTGTCAAGGTTTGTCATTGCTTTCCTCCCAAGAAGCAGGCATCTTTTAATTTCGTGGCTGCTGTCTCCATCTGCAGTGATCATGGGGCCCAAGAAAGTAAAATCTGTCACTGCCTCCATATCTTCCCCTTCTATTTGCCAGGAGGTGATGGGACCAGTGACCATGATCTTAGTTTTTTTGATGTTGAGTTTCAGACCATTTTTTGCACTCTCCTCTTTCACCCTCATTACAAGGTTC